TATGCTGTAGGTGGAGAATCATCTTTAAACTCCATTATTGTGGACATTTTTCAAAGATATTGACAAGAGTTTAGGCCTCAGAAATATTATTCTAATCTCACGAATGAAGCTTATACACCTGTTCTCTATCTCTCTTTTCTTTTTCAATTCTGATTAAAAAATAAATAAATAAACTGTTCAACATATACATCACATACTATCAAATCAATCTAAAACTAAAGATGATATTCACCTTTAAATCAGCACCAGCGCAGAACGCTTTGTGAACAGAACTGCAGATCATCAAAACCTTTGCTGAATGATCCTTATAAACAGCTTCTAAGCTTCGCTGCAACCCATGTAACATATCCTTACTTATTGCATTTTTTGCTCCAGGCCTATCCAAGTTAACTTCAACAACTCCTGTAAGCAAGAATATGCTTCTTCAGTATGCACAGTTGGTTACTGAGTTGACAGGACAAGTTTCATTCAAACATATTTCTTGGTCCAGAAAACCCAAAAGAGCATATTAGTAAGTAACTATATTACAGTAAATTACAGTTCACCATTTCTTGCAGAGCCCTAATAGACAGCCCAAACTCCAAACAGTCCAAATATAACTTTACCATATGAACTTTTAACAAACCATGATGAGTGACTTAAAAGTACGGGTGAATTATCCTAGTTAAGATTTTCCGATTGTCAGACTTCGGAGAGAATATCATTTCTTTTTACTATATCAGTTTAAGGGATAACGTGAAATCCTTCCTCTCCTTTCTTCACAATAAAAAGAATAAAGAGCAACCATCTTTCCTCAGTGTCCCAGTTTCAAGTTGAAATAGCTCCATCCAAAGTGAAACCTTTTTTTTATTTTTTTCTCTCACCCATTAGGCCATCTCTTTTCGCAATAAAATTTTTTTTCTTTTCTTTTGTGTTGATCTGGTAGTTTGCATGGCCAACTTATGTCATTCAGAAATTGGTGTGATGGCACTGGACGGTGAGGAATGTTTGTAATCAGATGGGCTCTCAATGAAAGGAAGACTGATTACTTATATCAAGGTGAAGCAGAAGCTATAAAGCTGGCACTAATCAAGGCATTAGAAGCAGATTGGAGAAACAATATTACCGCAACGTCTCTTGGTAGCAAAGATCAATTCAAAAATTTGTCAGGATGGTTTCATAGTTGTCTTCCTAGAGGACCTCAAGATGGTAAGCTCCATGTTTCACAGGGGTCCTATTAGTTTGTCAACAGAGCTGATGATGCTCTTAGTATTCAAACTGCTAGATATACATCAGAGATTAACCGGTAAATTCAATGGTTCGGGTTAATCCCACTGTGATTAACACAGGCTGTAGAGTAATCTTTGGGCACTTCTCAATATACTGTAAGGCTTTTGTTAACTCTTCTCTGTATTTTAATACGAGTAGACGTTCTAACAAAAAGGAAAAAAAAACAAAATGCTGCTAATCCCTCCCTTACTCATGGAGCCTGTAGCAGGCATATGACCCATGACAATAAAGTAAACAAATAATTCAAAAAAAAAAAAAAGAAACAATACGGATTAAAACAATTAAATTAAAGAAACTGAATATTACATCCAATGGGCAAAAGGGCTTTGAAAAATGATGAACTCAGAGACAAAGATCGTATTTTTACCATACTGATGGCTAAAAGCGTACAAGGAAAATGGAGTTACCGGAATCGGAGTCATCGAGTTTGTGAAGCTTGACGGAATCAGAAGTAGACTGCAAAATCAGGGTTCGAACACTCTGGCGATTCCATTCTTCGTGTGGATTTATATTGAATTTCTTGAGGTGAAAAAGCAGTTGTTGAGAAGATGAAATGGGCTTCGGTTTTTGCTTCAGCCATTGCTGGCCTGCTGATTTTGCTACAGCAGGTAAAAAAACCATTGCTGGCTTTTCCCTATCTTTCTTTTCTGTTCCTTTTAAGGATTTGTGGAGCCGATCATTTGCTTCAACCGCACCCTTTTTCTTTTCTTTTCTTTATTTTCATGTCATGCCAAGTCACTAATTTGATCGCGACAACAGGCAACGAAGTTTGTTTGACAAAGAGGATGAGACTTTTTTTGTTTTCCAATGAACAACTTGGGATTTCAGCTTAACAACTTAACAAATCAAAGCGCTTGTTAATTGAATTATGCTTGCCTCAGTACTAACACCTGTATGTTAAACTAGTCAAGAATATGTTGAAAGTACAGGTTCCTGTGATGATCATTGGCATGCTTCTTACGCCGTTGTTCAACTAGAACAAAAAAGCAAACATTCAATAATGAAAATTAGACAATTGCAACTCTCAAACATAAATTGTAGTTAGTTTTTTTTTTTTTTTTCATCTCAATTACCCGTATTTACACAACTAGTCAAAACATAATTTACACTTATAATAATTATTCACTAAAAAAATGTTGAAAATTATTAGCTATTCAAATCGTGTTCGAATTATAATTGTAAGTTACAAAACATTTTGTAATTGAAAACTCTTAATTTCATATAATACAGTCTTAGTCGAAGATAATCATTCAAACACCACCAATAAATTTCAAAACCCTTTACTAATTTGATCTCCATGTAACGTACACCATTAATGGAAAATTTTTCTATTTGATCAAAATACTCCAAAAATCCCTCACTTATTTTAATAAAATGAAATAGTATATAATTTTTATACCATGCACAATATAGGTCCAAGACATTGCAACCTAGGTTTTAGTGTTGTTATAATTTCAAATACCAGATTCAATAGTGAATTTTGATCTTGAACCATAGCCCCTTTTGAAATACTAAATATTACCTTACACATATAATAGTCCAGTTGCATGCATTGGTACTGTATGGTCTTGTACTCTTTTTCTTCTTTCCTTCTTTTTTTTTTTTTTTTTGAGTATATAGAGAATAAACAAGTCTTATTTAATGCCCCAACTCCATTTTGGACTAATGAAGGCCTTCATGGAGCCCTCTGAAAAACAGAAGCAAAGCTGAAGATTTTGGACGCACGGAGACTCATGTGCAACTGTGCAGGCAAAGACTTATTTCTTTAGTTTCTGAAGGTCTGAGTATTTTCAAAAACTCAAAACGATTATCACACAAGATGAAATATTCCCTGTGAAATTTCATACACCATAGAGTTTGAAGGACATTTCTTTAAAATCCATATACTCGCAGTCACAAGCATTGAATAGGCTAGATGTTAGAGTACCATGTACGTGGTGATTATTCTCCAAGATATTTCTTTTTGATTCTTGCTTAATTAAGCTTCTAAACACTACGAGCGTGATTGATAAAATTGATGTTTGAAAACTAAAATCGTGAAATTTGAAGATTGAATCCGTTAAATTACTAAATTGTTAAATACTAAATCTAATATATTTGAATATATATTACACTAAGTAATAAGTGAATAGTTTATCACATATTTTGTCTACAAAATTTAGTACCACTCAATTAATTCTTAACTAATTCAGATGTTCTATTTGTTATCAAATACACGTGAACATATTAAAATCTAAACTCATTAAATTTAAATGCTGAATTGGATTATCGGACAAGGTTCATGTCGAGCATTATTTCCATTCTTGTTTGTGAAAATTCTAACAGTTAATTCTCCCCATCCAACTTTATTCCAAATACCGTAATATTCAATAAAAATATTTCCTTTGTCAATATCCTCTCCTTGAAAGGGAACCCATTAATATAACTAATTTGTGCCAACTTTATTGGACAAAATGCACATTTATATTTCCAGATTGCATCAACATACTTTACCAAGTTAATCAAGTTTTCCACCAAAAAAAAGGGCTCTCTTAAGCAAGTGCTTTTTGGAAAACCTATAATTATAGAGGTTTTCTAACATGTGCCAGGTAAAAATTTGTTAGTATACCTAAATCACACCTAATTTATCATATTAATACACATAATCACAATCATTGTATCCCTACAGTTAAGACATTTTCCCAAATTAATGACACTATTCCCAAAAACTAATGCCTAAGAACCTTCTTAAGGGGCACTCGTTAGCCAAACATACAATGCATGTATATGGAGCTGATATTTTGCAGTCTCATTTGTTATGGCACTCTATCCGTAACTGTTTTTAGATCATGTCAAAGGACAGTTCTGATATTTGAAGGCTCAAGACATGAGATCTTGAGTTTTTCGATCTACATGCATTTTCTAGCTTGCAAATGCGCAGTTTCGGTGTAAGCAGAAGACAATTCTTCTAATTGGTACATTATTTTCAAACGCCTGAGTAGCTATTACTTCAGCATCTTAGAACATATAGTAGTCTACAGGTTGTTGCCTTTTGCCTTTCTGAGGATGTCTAGATAACGGAATTGCAGCAATCCATTCCTCTTTTGAGGATGTCTAGACAAGTTTAGACCCGACGAACCATTGTTCAAGTCTGAGCTGCTTCAAAGGAGGGCCTAAGTTGGTTACTCTTTTTGAGGACACCTCCATTTTCCAGTAACTTCCAACAGATTAGGAGCTTGGAAATTGGTTGTGTCCAAGAGAATCTTTCTTGTTGCTGTAGCCTCCTTGTTGCCTCTTGGTGGAACTGTGGCTCCATTCCTAGAAGAATAAGACTCACCTGCAAGTGGCCCTTTGCAAGAATTCTCTCCATCACCTACCTTGCTCCTCCTCATCGAAATGAACCCATTTTCTGCAAACCCTGTCCTGGCATTCTCTTTATTCTCTTGTCCACCAGGAGCCTCGTTTTCTGGTTTTTGGTTTACCAGGTACTCCAAGTTTTCTGTAGGTGGTCTAGTCGTAGTAACTATGGTAAAATGTTCAGGCTTATCGCTCTCTTCTATTGGAACCCTGCTCTGAATTGCCTTATGAGGCGAGTTCCCCATCTTGCTACCTGACCCACTTTTGATATTCAACATCATATGACTATGCTCCGCATTGAACTTAGCATTTAAAGCATCAATAGGGCTTTTTCCATTTTGGATTGATAGTTTCAAAACCTTCCGCTAAACCTTTACCGTGGTCAACATCTGTTTCAAGGGCAGAATTTGACATGAACGCCTTTGAGGAGTCAAGTCATTTAGTATAGCTGAGTTTTTCTCTCCATCAGCCTTTAGTATATCCTGTAAATGAGAAGCAAAGGATAGTTCACTGATACTTGTTACTGCTTTCGCCGCATACAAGCTTCTTAAGCATGTGAAAATCTGAGGTGTCTTTAAATTATTTGACTCCTAACACAATGCCAGATTATGTAACAAAAGCAACAACAAATTCCCTTCAATAAAAGAAAAAAAGAAAAAAAGAGTCAGAGTACCTTAGAGAGATTGTTTTGAACCATTCTTTTCCACGACCAAGAATGTTATGGTGCAATAAGTGCTAAAAGCAAATCTTGGTGCTGCTAATGACTGTGGTGTCATTTATACCAGCCACAGATAAAATGGTAATCAAAGAGACAAATGTCAAATTCATCCTCTAGAAGTGTCATAGGTTTGAAGCCAAATAATCACTGACAAAATATCTCCTTTCTCTTAGACATGTCAAAGCCAGAATGGGAGAAATTCAAACTCAAAACCCAGACTGCAGCAGGGTAGCAATTGCAGTATTCAGAGTTGAACGATGCAAATCAGTTAATACAACTCAGAAATTAGGTGTTTCATGATCTGTTGTTACAAGGTTATAGGTTGAACGCAAGTAGTTAAATGGAACTTGTATAAGCTATCAGCCTTTGGTCATGTACGTGTAAAAAAGAAAAACTTGAGTTTATATTCTTGAAAACTTGCTTGTCAATTTCAAGCATCATTTCCCAAGGACATAAATCTGGTCGATCCAGAACAGCTTTTAGCAGAAAATAAGAATCAAGAATACCTTAGGGAAGGAGTGGTGCTCATACTCCTTTTTTCTGCCAGAGTTGGTACATTTGACAAGCCCAAAAGAAGTTTTCTGACCTTCCAAATCATTCTTTTGAACTGCCTTAGTTGCCCTAATCAATTTGTCTTCTTTCCCTGTGATACATTCTTCATCAAACACATTTCCAGGAGGCTGTGAACTGAACTCGTAGCTGGTATTAATTGCTGGAGATTCGTATTCATAACTAGAGAACCAATTCCTAACATCTGGAGGCACTGATATCAACACAAAGAAATACGAAGTCAAGGATTGTCCAGATATTGTTAATAGTTTTATGGGTTCAGACTTTTGAAACCGATGCATACACAAACCAAGAATCCAAATATTCAAGTTTTCCATGATGTAAGAAGACAACACCGAGCATTTCTTTATAAAGATAAAGTAACTGGACTGGTCATGCATACCCGAAGAAAGTGAGAGGGAATCTGAATCTTTCAAAACCTACAAGACAAAATATTGAAATTCAACTAGCACATAAATATTCATCTCTCTGCTAAAGATAACAACCCAAAAATTTCACTGCATCTTAATTTAGATATGAATGAAAAGACAGCAGTTTGAATTGGACAAATAAAGAGGGAATCAAACCTTTTAATTTGAGATCTCAGCTCATAGACTTGGGCAGTTTTACGTTTTTAATGCTTGCCAAACATTAGTCACAGAGTTCATTCCACGAACTTGTCAGATGAAACAGAATTGTAGATTATGGAATGAAAGGCCTTCTTTACAAGGACACCATTTTTACATTCCTAATTGACAGCAAGCAAGGTAATAAAATCAAGTCCTCACAATAAACTACCTACATCTGACACCCAAAAAGTTTGAATCACAAAGATACCAGTGCACAGAGAAGAAAACTGAAATAATCAGTTCAATCTCAGTGGAGTTTTATGTCTCCCTGAACGATCATCTTGACTGGTCAATTAACAGATATCATTAGCATAACTGATTTGCAATTGAGGCAAACTGTTGTTACAGTGTCTCAGACTGGTAATCTGGATGAGCCTATGTAACTGATGCTTGTCAGGAACATCAATTTGGCGATTGGCTTATTAATGCCGATTACCTCTAAAGAAAGGATTTTGGTTGACCCTCTTGATTTTGGTGTGGATGATTAATGGAGATTTTCAGATCACCGGCCATTCAGAGACTTTCCCACTGTTCCATGGTGGATAAAGTCATGACCAGCTGCAGTATTTTGCACAAGGAACTATGCTACCATCTCTTAACACCATCAGTTAGTTGCATTCCATATATGACAAAGATCACCATTTTTCTGCTCATTTTCTTACATTATTTCATTCTTTCATAATTCCACTGTAAAAATTAAATTTGCAGTGGCCCATTCAGCAAATTAAATGCTTTGAGCCACCCATACGATGAATCCTAGTGAATATCAATTCAAATGTACCTCCTTGGTCACTAATAATTAGAGCCAATAACCACACTACATTGACATAATTCCTATCTGTAAGATGATTATAATGATGTAATCGTGAACGACCACAATACCAATTATCTCTTTATACTTTATAAAACGTCCTATCAATTAATCAACATTCTTTGCAATTGAAGTAGAGAGAAGAGAGGATATAATGACCTCAATGTTCCGGTTGTCAATCTAGCAATGCTATTAGACTGGAGAAAGCCATCTGAAGTATCCTTCCCATCAGCAAGCAAAACATCATGCCTTTTTTTGAGTACACCGTTTCATCAAAATTCCCTTCCTTTTCCTCTTCGTTCTCCCCAGTTTCAGCTAATATGGGACGACCAGAATCTTTAAAATCATCGATACTATTCAATTCTGGAGACTCGTATACATAACTTGGGAACCACTTGGCTATATATGGAGGCCTATATGAACAAAAATCAAAATCCCAGTAAAACTTTTGAAACTCAAAACACGAAACTATAGAAAACGATTAAAAAGAAAAGAAAGAAATGATTGCCAAGCAGTTTCCCAATAAACGAACCTGCTTTTATGATTTCCTTAACATCACACAGGCAAAAAAGAACGTCTTATGGACAATGCAAGAAGCTCAAAGATTTCAAAATAAGAAGAGAAATTGAAGATTATTTCAGAGATCAAACAAACCTGAAGGAAGCGATAAGGAATCTGAACCATTATCCAAAACGATGAAATGCAGCACTAGAGGGGGCAAAGATCGTAACTTTATGTGTATTTTATTCTGCTCCAACATCTTGATTTCTCATGTTAGAGCGATAGATGGCGCGAATAGGGAAAAGTTTTCAAATTCCCGGCCATAAGGTGGTCCCGTGCCAAAATCAGATTTCTTCAGGCTAATTACATTGACCACCCTGGTGTTCTCATAATTAGGGAAGAACCCATATGAGGTTTTGAATTTACCGAAACCACCCTTATCAGCATTTTGTACTATTTTGTTACTACTTTTACCTTTTATTTAGTACCTACCTATTTCACAGGAGTAGGGGTGGCAATAGGGCAGGGTGGGGCGGGGGACATCTCCCCCAACCCCGCCGTTGCATTTTAATTCCCCCGCCCCCATCCCATTCCCTAGCCCTCGGCTTCCTCGCCCCGCTTCTCCCGTGGGGGCACCCGCGGGGGAAGTACAAAATTAAATTACATTAAATTTTATTATATAATTTTATTATAATTAAATTTGAGCAAATAATCAAGTATTAAAATATTAACCATCACCAAATTATTATTCATTATAACTTCACTATTGAAACTCATAAAATAATTAAACAAAGGTTATTTGAATGCAATCTAATGTGATAAAACAAATATAACTAAAATAATTAAGTTTTTCACTTTTGATAACAATACAATCACTAAATTATTATTATATTTTTTTAGAAAAAGTGTTATTGTATTAAGTGTAGTTAGGAATTTAACATAAATGTATTAATAAATTTAGTATAAATAATTAATAATTTTTATTAATAGCATGTATAATTAGTAGTATAATTAAAAATATCATTATATATATAATTATGTACATATATATATATAGTTTTTTAAATGGGTGGTGGGCCCCCCGCCCAGTTTCTAAACGGGGGAAAAAAATTCCCCCCGCCCCAACCCCCGCCCCAATGACCCCCACGGGCACCCGCTCCCGTTGCCATCCCTATACAGGAGTGTGATATTCTTCCCCAATTAGGAAATTGTACATATGAATGTGTTATTGATCTATTTTGTAGGTGCGGTTCAAAACTTAAGTGATAAGAGTTATAATTGTAGATTTTGGAGTATTGAATATGTGTCCATAATTTGAAATTGAAATATTTTTTTAGCTCAGATTGTTGTGTAAGTGAGGTCTTGTGTAACATGACATGAAAGTATGAATGTAGAATTCAAAGTCCATGTTTCTCATTGAAGATATTAAAAACAAAAGCAAAACAAGGGCACACTATTTTTGTAACACTAATTGGTCAAGATAACATACTTTTTAGGTAAATTGTAGTGACTCTCTACTATGGTTAATATATTCACAATTAGATGACTAGTTTTGGTTTGTAGTTACTTAATTTTCATCAATATTTATTAAACTTATTTTCATTGTAGACTTTAGTAACATGACCAAAGAAAGAGTCGTGACGTTTCTTTTTTTATTTTAATTTTTCAGTAGGGAATGAATGGGATTTAAAAAGCGAATTGGCAGTAAGGAATTAGTCACGATGTTTCTTTCTTTCATTTTTAGTTAATTAATTATTTATTTATTTTTGGATTAAGAGTCCTATGTTTATGCAAATGAATACCAAGGTTCAATATTTATACCTATGTTTTGGATTAAAGGGTCCTATGTTTATACCAATGATCCAAGATCTTTTAATTGTAATCCCTTCCATCTTACCACCTAATCCAATTCTCTCCCTACCAAGATTCAAATTTTTTTTTTTTTTAGGTTCAATGTAATATATCCTTACATAGAATTAAGTAATTTTTCTCAACCTTTCTTATCTTTACAATCGATTAATTGTATCCGTAAGAAATTGCTTCCATGTATTCCAAAATTCGCACCATTTGTAGTCTACGGTTAGACCCCATCTTTTAATTATAACTTTTCATTTGCCGCTGGTCCGGACTGATTCCTTCTAATTATCTGCATCAGGGACTTCTCAAGAAGTTAGTCTAGGTACCTTGAAATCGTTCATGTCACTTGGCAAATTAAAGCGTCTGAAGCTTCCTAGAAAATCTAGAAATTTTCTTAATCTTGCTATAAGATAAAGCTGCTTATTGTAAAAGATCTCCCAAATAAACCAAAAAGTGGGCTTCTCGCGTATTCAATGTGCATGATTTGCAAAATTCGTGTACATTTAAGATAAAACATCACGTGTAGCCATATCAAAGTTTTAAAGATGAAAGAGTTTCAACAGTTTTACACTACCAAGTCGACAGTGTTATCTGCTTAGTACTCGGATACTATAGAGCTGTTTTTCTTGGAATATTCCCTTTTATTATGCTTACTTGACAGAAATGGCCCAGGTGGCATATTTTCAACTTTAGCAATATACTGAGTTTTACCTCATTTGATGGTAAAATAGGATTCATACACGTGAAATTTTGTTTGTGGTAATTAATACTTCAATAATGCGCTCATATGGAGTGAAAAACAAGCAAATCTTTTACTGTCTGTTCTATTCAAGATGATGCAAATCACCTATAATCATCAACTTGAAAGTTGTAAGCGGTGATCTTGTTCTTTTGCATTAGGATGATCAGTATAGTCCAATAATTCTAAAATAGTTTAACTAAAAGGGCATTCTTGACAACTCGTTCAGGATTTTCCCCGTTTCATATAGAAAAAGTTCATGTAAAATCCACCTTCCAATCAGTACTTCATGCAATGAGGCAACTGTACTATATTGAAAGTGATGAGGAGATGCCCTATTCCATTTTAGACAAGATAATGAGCATGATACACTTTTCTCTTGAATAATTTGTTATTCACCTTATCTTACAATAACATCTTAAGGGCCATGTTTAAGTGGAAGTTCATTGTACAAATTACTCAGCAGTAATAGCACAGGCAACACTGTAAAATTCTACAAATGGACCTCAACAGAAGCATCTTTGAAGTTTGAACCTACTGCAACTTCTAAACGATCAAACTCTATCTGTAGTAAAATGCCCTTTCAATGTAGTATGAAAAGCTAGTTGTCTTTATTCCTCTTTTGTCTTCAGTTACTACTCTGAAATTTCCGTTGACAACACAAAGTTTTAATGAGGCGAGTGAATAGAATCCATACCATAGCAAGAAAATCAAAATGATTTTCCTTGACATAAGGATTCAAATGATACCTTATAAGCCTGCAGAAATCTGTACTTACATGGCTTTTGCTTCAATCTTTATGTCATTTGTTTCTCATAACTTTCCAGTATTCCTTAAACCCAAAATTCTAGCACAAATTTGGTGTTTCTTTGGAGTTCTTTATGGTTTGAATGGCTGGAAAATCGCATA